TTCCTTCACGGATCTGGAGCAACTCTTTGATGCCGTGGTTGATAGGTCCTTCGGCGGCTCAGCTTCGTCGTCCGCATGCTGAATTTTTCCTCGGAAAAGCCGCTGTTCGAAGAGAACATTCGGAGATGGAGCTCTAAAGAGAGTAATAGTCTTTGGGCGCGGCGTCTCTCTTGGATGCTCTCTTGTTTCCTATAAATCATGGGATGCTGCTCCTGTTACTTTGTCGCTTTGTGGTCGCTGTTAAAAGTCGTTTTCTGTTAAGTCAACAGAGTGGAGACTTTTTGCAGAGCAGAAACAGAATGTTAATTAGTTCTGGCAATAATAACAGACAACACTGGCAATGTTGAGCTAGGATGATGCTCAAAGAAGTTTCTAGTTCTTGATATTATATAAAAATAAAACAAATTGTATATACAAGCAATTTAGTTTGCTAAAAATATAATACATTTAAGTGGAGAACACTTGAGAATTAGGTTACTTTATTCAAGAAAATAAGGATACTAATTAACATACTTTGAAGGAAGAGCTATATAAAATACTGTTGTTATAAGAATACTACTTTTCTATTTGTAAATTCTTTGTTATATACTTTAAGATTCCAGTTTTAAATTCAAACGCTTATTTAACCCCAACCCATTCTCAGCTAAATCGCTCGCTTAAGCCCACAGTTTGGCTGCTTAGTGTGGCATTAACTCTCGGCGGCCTTGTGCAGCGGAGTAGACAATTGAAAACTACATTTGCCAGCCGGGCCAAATCCTATTAGCCACATGCCAGTCTTTGTCGCTGATGGCCGCATTTTGGCCAACGGACATGGCGGAATGGCGGATTGCATCCAGCAGCAGGAGCAGCCAGGAAGGAACCTGCATCTAGCGGCTTAAGCCGCAGCTGCAATTGCTGTTGCTTTGCTCGAAAAAGAAATGGAATTTCGCCGGCAAGCCGCTTAGTTTCTTATCGATTTCATTTGTTGTGTTTCCAAAAAGCCACTTTAAGGGACAGGGTGGCGAATTTTGTAGTTATCAGTCACTTGCAGAAGCTGCAGCTGATGTTTCTACGGCTCCTGGCAAGGGCAAATCATGGGCTATCTCTGATTTCTGGCTTCCTGGTACTGCTGCTCCAAAAAAGAAAACCAACACACAATGCCAGTAAATCTAACTGTCAGCTAAGATATTTGTTATCGTTTCAATTAAAATAAATTGTGAATCAATGTAATTTCAAGCTTTCTAGAAAATTAATTTTAATTTAAATCCGAGTTTTAAAATAGTTCACATATCACATTTAATGGCTGTCAGTGAAATAACGAGGAAACTAAGAGTCTATAATGCAAACGATTTGCTCTTAACGGCACCTGGTTAAATGGTTAAATGAAATTGTGTTAAAAATAAAATCAACTCAAATCAATTCAAATGCATTTTCCACTCTGCTCGGCTGGCAATAATTAATTTTTGTAAATTGACATCACCGGACCGCCATTGTGAGAGCTTGTTAAAAATCAATAAAGCTTATGGGCTTAATGAGCTCAATGAGCGTTTCCTAGGTGGAATGCCACGCCCCCTGCTGCATCGCACTGATGGGCCCTGATCGTTCGCATTAAGCTGATTTAATATTCAAGTATTTATCGAATATATTGTGCGCACTTTTGCCAACCAACTTACATAGCCATAAACTGAAAATATTCGAGCATATTTATTTAATTTCAAGCATTATTGTCGCCTGTGCTCCACAGGGATTTGTCCTAGGTCACGAGAAGAGCTCGTAAACTTTGGGAAATGTTGTGACTTCCTCCATCCGATGATGCTTTTCGTTCTTTAGATATCTAGAGAAAAAGTGTGATATCCAGGGTCATGGCACTAAAGTCACGGAATTTTTGAACATTTTTCAACTATTAAACAATCTTTCTAACTTTAGGTAAAGTTGGTCATAGCTAATTTATGCTTTGAATATTATTTATAGTTTATACCATACATTTACATATAGAAATAATACATGTTTTCTCGAGAGTTCCTTTAATTTTATTTATGTCAGAATGGGATCTTATTACACAATTTCTTTTCAGCTTACAATTGGTATTTAAAAATTCAGTAAGCTTTATATTAAAATGTTTACATACAGCATCGTGTGATTTTCCCACGAGGAGAACCTCGAATGCAGCGCACTTAAATGCCTGAAAAATTGATTAAAATGTGGGCAGAGAAATATGCGGATGCAATGGGAAATGTATGACCGCAGCGATTTCCCCTCGGCCAAAGGCCATTCTCATATATTCCCGTTGTTGTCGCCGGCGACACACTTGCGGTAAAGTTTTTTTCGGCAATAGCTGCATATCCGTAGATGGCACGTGAGTTTTCCGTACCCGGCGCATGACCAAGGGACTAATGGCCCTCTCAGCACACACACACACACTCGCACACTTGTACACTTGTCACGTGTTTAGACTACAACAAATATGCTAAAAATGTTATGCCAAAAGCCATGCCAGGCCAGGCGATGGGAGATGCTAGGAAGCAGGATGCAGGGCCTTTGGATTTTGCATTTTACAGCGCTCGAAGGCAGCGCAGCTGCTAAACTTGGCGCCGTTTGTTGCCATTTGCGGAAATGCGCGCGAGTATTTTAAAAATGCATTCCCACCGCCTCTCCACCACCCCCTGCCAGCATCAGCCATCACGTTCTGGCCACGTTAAGCAAGCTATGGCAGCAGGGCAGCAGGTTCCACCATACACAGCTGATGGCGATGTGATATGGTCTCTCGATAAAGTATCCAAAGTTGTTGAACGGTAAATTGTTACCTGATGGTAATACATAAAATAAGTAAAGTTAAAATATTACAAGTTAGTAAAATAACTCATAATTTTAATACAAAATATAATAGAGTTAAAATTAATAGGAGCATATTTTCATTAGTTAGCAAGAGGTTATAAAAAGTCCCTTTGCTGGTACATGAAAATCCATTTATATATACAATATTATAAATAATAATAAAATTATTAAATATTATATAATAAATAAATATATTTTTAGCACCTTTTAAAATTTTAGGCTTATAATTTTTTATCTTCAAGGTTTTAAATCGATTATTCTACAGACTACACTGCGTATGAGTAATATGGTTCATATCATATTACGCATACGCAGTGTTGCTTCAAATCATATTACTCATACGCACTGTTGTTTCAATTTATATGGCAAAAACTTAATATAAATTAAAAAATACTCTATTTTTGGGTCATTTAGTACAGTGTCATGCCAGCACATCTGCTTGGCTAAAAGGCTAACATGAGGGCTTGTGGTGTCATCTCGGTTCCCAGCGGGTTTAATGGAGTTGCCGTCGACGTGTCGTGTAGGTGGTCCCGGACATGGCCAAGCTTTGCCCCTCTTCCAGAGTTCCAGAAGCTCCCCTATAGTCTTAGTCCCGAATAAACTCCAAACATGATCGGGCGAAATTTACATTGGGCCAAAGTTTTGGCGGATCTGCGGTGCGGGTGGCTAAAACTTCTTGGCTCTTGATTTTTCATGAACTGCCATCGTCTGGCATTCGGCGAGAGAATGATGGCTCATTATGGGGGTTGGTGGGGGGGTTGTTTTCCTTTTTTTCTTTCTTGAGAGGTTTCAGCCACTTGGCAAGACGCTTGCCACATTCCTAGGCAAATACTCGTAAATAAGCAGCCGCTGCGGCAACAATAATGCGACTATTGTCGCTGCGCCCAAAAGTATGCAGCGAAATGCGGAAGGAGCGAGGCGAATGGCGAACGGCGAGCAAGGAGCCACGGCAAGTTTATTAAAAATCTGAGTTTTCCCCTCCTCACACCCACGCTCCCTGGTGTATTATTATTGTTTTCCTTTTTGGCCTTTCTTGTGCCTGTTTTATTTCATTCCTTCTCTTTCATTTTTGTTGCGATTTTTTTGTTTGTTTTGTTATGTTTTTCGTCGTCGGTTTACTTTTATACTCTACTAAAGGGTATCAAAATGTATCCTTGAAAGTTACAAGAACCAAGAAGGTCACAACTGTGAAACAAGATGTATTTGTTTAAGTTTAGAAAATTAATATTAGAATAAGAAAGTATTTATTATTAGACAAGAAAAGATAAGAAAATACTGAGGAATTACCATTGATGAAAGCGAGTAAAAAGATCAAAATGACGAGTAAAGACGAGAAGGACCGAGAAGAAAACGACGAGAAGAGAGGAAGCAAGAGCGGGTAAGCGACAAGTGATTATTTGTATAATAATAGTATTAAATTAAATAAAAATATACTTAAACGTCCAATATAAATAAAAATCCCCCACTTACACTCTTTAGAATAACTTGAAATTTTCAGAGCATGATTAAAAATCTCAAGACTGCAAGGGCATTTCCAGAGTCGGTCTTAGACCTAAAACTAGGTATTTTTTTGGTTCTTTTTTATACCGCACCACTTGGCCAGGGCAGTGCTACATGCACTTGAGTTTCATTTGCTTGTTCGCCAGAATAACCCCCCTTTGGCCCCTTAGCCAATGTCAGAGAGTGCATTAAAAATTGTAGTGGCCCGAAAAGTTTTATGTACATTGCCAGAAAGAGAGGGGCAGAGAGCCAAAAAGAAAAACCACAACAAAATGAAGTCGAAATGTTGCCGGGCCGGTTGTTGTTTCTGTTCTTGTTCTTCTTCTTGTGTTGTTCGTGTTCTGGGCCATTATTATTGCCCAGATGTTGTTGCTGCCGCGGTACAGTTCACTTTGTTAAATTATGTGCAGCATTTGCGGCTCCACTTCCCACTCGCGCGGCATATCGACTGACCTTTGGCCCACCCGCATCCACCCCCTCTTCCCTTGCGCCCTGTGCATTCCCTTAGAGTATTTCGCTGGCGGCGAATAAAATTAATTATTATTCGCATAAAAAGTCGGCCTCTGGGGAGAGTTATGAATACAATTTATAATGATTACCATTTATGCATATTCAGTAATGGAAAATGTCGCTTACTGCGATTACCCATATCTGATGCGATATTTAGGAATAAAGAGAAGACTCTTTGAAATGTTTATCAAGTCACTGAGGAGAGAAAATCAACAAAAGACTATTTGTAGAGCATATCCGTTCGGTTTGCCGTCAAAAATGTAATTTTATAGAGAAGAAACAAGTTAGTATCACTTTTCACCTAACCCCAAATATCATCCGGTAAGCGAGACCAGCACCTTGGCACAATCTGATTACATTCGATTCGATGGGCAAACGGCGCCGAAGCAACCAGATTAGTTTAGGAGCAGATGCATGGAGGATCTCGCCATCGAATACACCGGTTAATAGCTCCGGCAAGCCCAATTCCAAAGTCCCATCAAAACAGTGTTCGAAGTCTTCATTAAAGTCCACTTCAAAATCCATTTCGAAAACCTCCACGAAACCCACCGCCAAGTTCTCCGTTAGAAACTCCGGCAGGAACTCCTACCGCAGGGCAAATCAATTCTGCGAAGCATCTTCCACACAACCAGTTATGGGTCAGGGTCTAGTTCCTAGTAAGGATCACAGTCAGGTCCGGAAGGACAACGTGGAGGTCGTTGAGTCAATTTCTAATATGAAAAGCATTGGGCCACATCGCCACAGTGGCGTTTTCCTGTACCGAAATAGCTTCGATGCCATCCAATTGCTTACCCGGAACACGAGCTCCGGCCCGGATGACTACGGCGAGCAGCGGATCATAGGGGACTACCGGAACAAACGCTGTGAGTTCCGGTCCTGGTCACCGTTCCAGTCCAAGCTGGCCGCCGGTATTATGAGCGGTGTGAACGACCTGCACCTTCACAGCGGTGCCAAGGTGCTTTATTTGGGAGCAGGCTTCGGGCGTTCCGTGACCCATGTCTCGGATATTGTCGGTGAAACGGGCATGGTCTATGCCGTGGAGCGGGGCATCTGGTCGGGACGCCAGTTGGTGGGATTGGCCAGTCACCGGCCCAATATCGTGCCCATTATCGAGGATGCCACGATGCCGTACAAGTACTGCCGCCAGGTTCCCGCCGGCATCGATGTCATCTTCTGCGATTTGCCGCAAGCGGACCAAGTGCGTTCCCTGATGCTGAATGCTCGCCATTTCCTGTCGCCCGAAGGACACTTCGCGGCCTTCCTGCACGCACCGAGTATCGATAGCAAGGTGCCCGTCATGGAGGCCTTTGCCGCAGAGGCCGAACGCCTTCTGCTCGAGCAGCTAAAGCCCCTCGAAGTGGTGACCCTGGATCCCTTCAAGCCCGGTTATGCCCTGGTTTTAGGCATTTCCACACGCCAGAATCTTTGTTCCTAGCTGGTCCGGTGTACGTCTGATGTACGGAGATGGCTATTTTAAATTTATATTCGTTCTTAGTTTGTATTAACTAATAAATGTTTTCGTGTTATAAAGGAAACCTTTCGTTACAATTCGAATTATTTAATATGTAAAAATTACGTAGAATTAACTTTTAGAAATAACTTTTGTTGTCCATTTGATATTTCATTATATTCATATCCTTTAAATATGACTTGTGGGCTCAATGCATTAATAGTTTTACGTTCATGTTTATTCAATAATTAATAATAATAAATTAATTAATTATTCCAGTGAAGAACAACAACAACACAAAACAAAATTGAATTAATAACAAATTATTTATGGCTCAGTGCGAAGTGGAAGCATACATATAATTAAACAATTTATTGCAATTGCAATGCTTATGCAGATACAAAGATCAGCTTATATAAACAGAAGCGAGTGGTTAATACAAAAAACCGACATTTATGCTCTATCTCATCCTATATAACTTACAGATATGTAAACTAAATATTTCACAAAAATGGATATCAGTTACTTTAAAATTCTCTAGTCATAGGAAATTCCCAAGGATAATTGGGTTAGATAATCCGCATCATAATTATGGCGTTAATTTACACTTATCACCCGAGGGTCCTAGTAACATAATTTCTTAAGTCCTTTCAACTCCAATACATAATGAATGTGCTGGGCCTCGCTAATAATCTTATTCAACATTCATCAAATATCACGCATTCAGCCCGCATTTAATTAGAGGGAACAGTTTTAATTTAATTAGGGATTACAACTAATAAAACTTTTTCATTTCGCTGACTCGGCTGGATTCGCACACTTCTCCGAGCACAAACACCATTTGTTCAAACAAATGCATGGCAAAATCTTAATTAACCTCAGGGTGCAGAGCATAAACCCAGCACACCACACGCGAGAATACACTTTGCGATAAATATATGCTTTATTGAAACTATATATTTGTAAATTGCTAAATATGAGAAGGAGAAAGGAGCAACAATTTACATTTTGTATTTGCAAATAAATATTTAACTATTTATTTAGGTAATTTATGTATTTCTTTACTTATTAATAATAGATAATGCTATATATTTTTATATTCTTTCAGAGCACCTAAGACAGTACAGCATTTCGTCCGGCTTTACTAAGTTTAAAGAAAAATTCCGTAATGGTTATTTTACCAATCCCTCGAGCCTTATTTGCATTTGCTTATATATTTTCACAATAATAATAAATGCATATTTTGTTTGAACATACAACCCTTTTACTAAAAGCAGGCATAACATAGAACTTTTATATTTTCTTAGTGTGTACTTTATATATATGTATACAGGATGTGTGTATGTGTCTGGGACGATGTCTATTACGCGAGGGTTTCAAATGAAAGAAGGCAAGCTGAGCAAATAAAACTATGTGTGTGTGTGTGTGTGTGTGTGTGTGCACATATTCATTTTGTATGTTGCGCACTTTATTCCATCTATCTCAAAGACAAAACCAGTCAGTTAACCGGCACACACACACACACACACACACACAGAGACTACCAGGCACCCCAGCCGGCAGGACTCACATCTCGCTCCTCCTCCCAGTCGTAGTCTATCCTCCACACATCCTACTCCTTCCTAAAACATCCTCCGAGTCGCCGCACTCATCCGCATGTGAAGCGAAAATTTCGCTGCTCGGGAATTACATTAAGCGTTGGGCATAATAAATTATTCCGTATGATATGATTCTGGTACATGATAAGCGTTTGTAATTTTAACTGTCAGTTAAATGAGTAAATGGCACAGAGTGCCGAGCTGGCGATACGCGGCACTGATCCGGAGGGGGCGGGAGTGCGAATAGGAGCTACGAGCTCGGCATGGCAACGATTTAGAATACTTCATATTTATCTTTTGTTGGAAACTTGAACATTTGTGTGCGTAAATAAAAGTTGAGCGTCAATATTTGCCAACCTACACACACACTCACTTACACACTCACATATGTACCATCCTCGCACATGTGTAATTACAAGGCTGGGCGGAAGGGGGCGGGGCGACAAGTACGTGACTATAATCATCGCGATTTTGCCACTGCCGCCGCCGTTTCATAATCCGCAAAAGCGCCACGCCTGCCTCTATCCAACTGACCCGAAACTCCTACTTCCCACCCACTTCCCACCTACTCCCCACCTACTCTCCACCCACTCCCCACCTACTCTCCACCTACTGCTGAAACGATGCACCATCCCTCCTCTATTTGCTTTGAAATTAAAAAAGTTTCGCACTGAGCTCTGTTAGATTTTTCGCTTCTGCCACTACCACTGCCTCTGCCTTGATTTACATGTTAAATAATTTCGTGCTGCTCTGCCTGTATTTCCCCCGCTTCACATTTTCATCACACATAGAAAAAATAGGAATTTTTGAGCCAATTATTCTGGTTTATTAAAATTACAAAAGGTGAAGAATCAAGGTGTCAATCATATTCTTAGTAACTGTAACTTAATAAGAACTTCAACTATTCCTTAGAACTTGTTACACTATCTTCTTTATTTTGTTACAATATATACGGTAACGTATCAATCGGTTCGTAAACTGTTAGAACTATAACAGGAATTTTAAATTCATAAATTCATAAAAAATGTTCTACAATTATTTTTAAATGTTGGCTGCTTAATTTCTTCTCTTGGTGATATTTTTCTAGAAAAATTGCCATATTCATTTTAAATTTTGTTCTTTATGGATTTTTAAAGGAGTTTTCTTTAAAGCTTTGTGATAAATTAGTTATACAAATGTTTAAAGGATACATTACCTTAAGCTTACATTACCTTAGTGCCTTATGATCTCGTTGCCACTTATAGTTCGCAAGATCTCAGAATTCAGACTTGGGTATATCGAGTGCCTTCGTCCATGAATATTTAGAATATATATTTTTACCTTTTTGATTTTATTTCTATACAAAAACATTTAATTTTTCTCAGTTTACTCTCGTTTGTACGCTGTCACTGTGCAAAACTGTTTGAAACGCATAGCACAAAAGTCAAAGCAGGACAGCAGTCAGATAGGCTATAGGGAGGGATTTAGCGAGGGGAGATTGTAAATATGTGCGTTGCCAATATCGCATTTGCCAAATCCACAGTTTATTAAATCAAAAATCTTAGCGGGAAAATTTGCGGGACATATAGAATATATATAGAAACGAATGCCAAAAAATTAAATTAGTTTTATTCAGAAGGCACTGCTACAGAATTCTAGAAAGAAATAAATTTAAATACAGCTTAAGTACTAAATAACAGCGAAAAAATAATGGAAATACAAATTTGAAATCCCGAATAAAAATTTCCAAATCGAAAAAACCTTGCTTAAAATTCAGTAACAATAGTTCACATATACAATTTCTATGCTTTATTCCAAATCCTGAAAAGAAATTCAAACCTTAAAAACCTTTTTCAATATTCAGTAATCTAGTTATTTACCTTAAAACAAAAGTTCATATATACCATATTATAAAAAAATGAGGAAAAAATAACTGAGAACAAGTAATTGGCTTTTGAAAATTGTAAGCCTTTTGGATTAATAGAGTTAAAAACTTTGCATTTCATATATTGTTTTTCATGCCCTGTGCCCTGGAGACGTCCACTTTAGTTAGAATTAATTCAAAATCAATTAGGCCACGGACACGAATTTGCCATTAGAGTCGCAGTTCTTGTATTGGTAGAATATTATCCAATTAATTGAATCCACTTTTATGGACGTTGGCTCCTGGGCACAGATAATGCTGCGTGCCACCAGCAACGTGCAACTGGCAACTCGCAACGAGAAACGCGCAACACGCAATAAGCAACAATGGAGGGCCAGCAAAAAATAAATCTGAAATCTGCATTTCAGCTTTGCCAAAACAAAAAAAGGATATATATATGTATATAGTTCAAACTGCAACTGCAAAGTGGAGCAAGGGGGAAGTGGAAATTCGGGTGTGGAAATATTGTGGCCCAAAGTCAGGGAAATGCAATGCACAAAGCGCTGTCGAGGATTTTCGCCGCTGAAAGCAAATCGCTGAAACGCTTTGGCGTTTTGGGGGCGCGGCAATGCAAAACAACTTAAAATGTCATATGAAATTTGTAGCGTTGCTGATTGCGCGTGTTAAACAGTCAAAGCGGGGAATTGGGAATGCCAGAAGGACTCGTCTCTCGCAAGGCACATCCTTACACACACACACCGACACACCGGCACACAGGCAGCGCGTAAATCCAGTCACGCCAAAAAAAAAAAAAAGGAGAGCGGGCGTGGCGACACTAAAAACAAAAAGCAAACCGGCAGCCGCAAGCGAAACGTGCAGAAATAAAAGGCGAATGCGAGAAATCACAAATTCCGGCGAAATCTTTAAATCCCACGGATTTATGCATTTTTACGTTGCATTTACTGGCGTTTCTTTTTCTTTTCCAACAGCCATTGCATGTGGGCTGCCACTGATCTTCTTGGTGGTCCCCCATTTCCCGCACTTGTGCCATACTTTTTTTCCCGTCCCTCTCTGAGTGTGCGATGCGGGCCAGGACCTGGACCTGGACTTTTCCGGGCTGCTGTGGAGGAGGTAGGACGAGGCAGGCGGAGGAGTTGGAGGAGCCGGTTGCCGTTTATGTGATTTCTATAGTTTGCCAACAGCGCCTCAAGGTGTCACTGCACTGCGCGCCTCCATCTGTCTCCGCCCCCGAAGCGAGATGAATCCTGTTTGGGGTGGACCGCAAAAAGAGTTATTACAGGATATAAATTAGAGTAAGAAATATAAGTGGTAATTTATAATTCAAGACATTTAGGAATAATATATTAATTATAATAGTTATAGCGAGGAAAGATAGATAAACGGAAATTATTAACGATATAATTAAAAGCAACTAAAGTAAAAATCTTATAACTAAAACAAAATTCTAATTTAAAAGTAGCCTGAATCAATATAAATTTACGTATCTTTTAAGTTAAGGATTTATTTGTAATATTGTCATGGATATGATAAGAATGTAGTGCAATATAGTAGTAAAAATACTAAGAGACCATCGTATTAATGGGTTTTTTGCTTTGTCTTCATAATGGTTATTAACTATTCCTA